CGGGGGTTGGGGTCAGTGTGGGGGTGCAGGTGCTGCTGTCTCTTCCCAGCTGCTGCCAGGAGCCTTATCTCTGCTTCCCACCTGGGTGCTGCTTGTCAGGGAGTCCCTGTGTGTCCCTGCTGCTGCCAGTAATCCCCATCTGTGTGAGGGTTCTGCTTGTCCATGGTGGGAGCAGGCAGCTCGTGAGGGCAGCGCTGGTGTGGGAGCTGCAGGGGCTGAAGGGCTGCACCCGTCCAGCTGCCTCTTGCAGATTGTGCTGCAAACTTTGGGGTCTTAATATACAAATGCTTCGAAATACACTGCTGCAGCCCAGCAGTGGCTGCAGGGACGGGGGCGCTCTTTGGATGATCGGGAGCTGCGATGTGTTCAGGAGCAGCTGTTTCTTCCTGTGGCTGTGGTCCATCATCCCCATGGGGCTGAGCTGGCCCCAGTGAGCTAGTGCTGCCCTCCCTGGCCTGGCTGTGCCTGTGGTTGACCACCGAGGGCACCTGCATCCTGCTCAGGGACGTCAGTGCTTTGTGAGCTGTCTGGGCTGTGCTCGTCCCCTTCTGGAGCAGGTTCGGGGGTTGCACGTGCGGGGCTCCTAGCTAGGTGAGCTTTGCCTGTGCTGCATGGGTCATTCCCACCCTTGGTACAACCCTGCACTGGACCCTGTTCCCCTGATGCTGCCCTGCCTAAGCCCCAGTAGGGTTTACCCCAGCAGATGGGCAGGAGGGGGTGAAAAATGCCACCTTGGAGATCACCCAGGGATGTCATGGAGCAGGGATGAGCTGTGGCTGGCATTGAAAGGGCTGTTAGACCCTGGCCCATGCCAAGCATCACTCTGGGTCCTCCTTGGCTCTGTTCAGGGGCAAACCCCCAAATTACCGGTGCTTCCGCCAGGGGTGCTGCTGAGCTGGGCTGTGCGTGGCTGAGAAGGATGAGCAGCCCCAGTTCACGCGTGCTGGACCCTGGAGCTGCACCCTTCCCTCTCGCCAGCACTTTGGGGTTTCACCCTGTGGCAGAGGCACAAACCAGATGCAGCCAGGAGGCTCTTTGGTCTCCCGGTGCCATCTGCTGTTGTTTCCTCCAGGCAGACCCATGTTGGGCTTATACCAGGTCTTGTGGAGCAAGCTGGAGATGGCAGCAGGGAAATGGGCTCCCTTCTCCTGCCCCCAGTACTGTCAGATGCCCTGAGCAGCTCTGCCATGCAGTGTGTGGACTTTGCTTCCTCTAGAGAGTTCTTGTGTGGACACCTGATATCTATCCCATGGGATTACAATCCTGCCTGGCAACCAGCCTCCCAGAGCTGCCACCTCCCCTTCTCCTGCTCCCAGCACTGCTGTCACCTGTGTCCAGCGTGCTCTTGCACATGCTGTGGGTCCCAGGATCACAGGGTGGTTTCTGTTTAGCCTCAAGCTGTGCAAGGAGGTCCTTGGCCTGGTGCATGCTGGCAGCTCATGCATGGGACAGGCTTGAAGGACTCTCTTCTGCCAAGAGCTTTGCTTTATTCCTAGCTGCGCAGTTTCAAGCATCACTCATAGCTCCAGCCTGGGCTTCTTGTGACATGGGGTTTTATCTTGGATGTGGTAATTGAGGGACAGCTTCTCCCTCGAGGGCCTTCATCCTCTTTGCCAGACCTGTTTTCTGATAAGCAAAGCAAATACACTGTGCTCATGGCACCCTCATGGGTGAAATGGATTATTCCTGCTTAGCTCTGACAGAGGGACCTTTGTGCTTCTCCTGAGACTGTTTATTGGAGCCTGATCAAAAACTTCCCCACAGCCACACTCTGCTGTGTCAGCCAGATCACCCTCCCTGCAATCCCATGGGCTGCACCAAGTCTTCATCACCTGCTTTGCAGCACTTGCTTTGGGCATGGATTGGGTGACTGTGAGCTGCTGGGTCCTGAGCATGGCTCCTTTCTGGTCACAGCCTGCTGGGAGCATTGGGCAGGGCCTGGAGATGTGCCCCGCTCTCGGTGTGCGGGAGGGATGGGCAGGTATGAGCTGAGTTAAGTGGCACTTGGCTGGCTCAGGAATAGCTCTGTTGGCCAAGACTAACATTGCAAAGAAAGCGGATGATCTCCAGGAAGAGCTGTTTCTGCAGCTGGAAGGAGCTTCCTTGATTCTGCTCAATGCAGAACAATAAAGCGAGCACCATGGCACTGCCTCGAATGCCCCCCTCGGGGAGCAAGGGCTCCGTGCAGTCATGCTGC